CCTGCCTGGCGGTCCTCGCTCCCTGCCGGCGAGCATGGTGACCCACAAGCTGTCCTTCTCTGAGCCTCCTCACCAACCAGCTTCTCTACATCACGCTTAACCATGCTGCCTTCCCAGCACCAAGCTGCATTGTACATCCTATACAACATGTATATAGAGAGCACATTGTGAGTTTCCTTTCTCCATTCCATCCTGAGTGTGAACTAAACATCATATACCCCACAGTGCCATCTAGAGGTATCTGGGGTTGTGCCAGAGATGGGAAGTTAAAGCCATATGCATGGGGAGACTGCGCCATTAGTGGACCTGGAACCAATATCTCGTACCCCACAAATGGTGACCCCGGAGATTCGCACTTACACAGGATGGAGGAGAAATATCGCGTACCCCACAAACTCAAATGCACGCATCCTGAAAGATATGCTCCTTGATGAAGTTAACGAACTTTATCTTACTTTGGTTTACCCAAGATTTCAGAATTTGTAATCCCCCAATGCCGCATTCCATGCATGAAATCCTGATCCCTGCAAGCTATTTCGAGATATTGAGGAATTTAGGAACTGTCTGCTTCAAAAACTCTACAAATATTTTCATCAGAGAAAATTCCCTTGGCCACTGAGTGATGGTAAGCTTGGAGATAAATATGAATATGACTTATGATTGAGCAAAACAAGCAGTGACTGCAAGCAAATGATTCAGCAACGCTGCCGCGACTTCGTACTGCAGGCAGTAAGCGAGTTAGATAAAAGAATAGACAATACAACGATGAAAAATGGAATGCATAAAATGTTTGGATCCTAAGATTTGTCTAAGCCAAGTTAAGCCACGATTCAGTGTTCTACACCTTGGACAGTTGGCTAAAGAAGAAAATTTTGATGTGAATAAATTAGCAGACCAGTATGAACGCATCTCCATGAAAACTAATTGGAAAGAGGAGTTTCCCAATTCAGAAATCTCAACAGACCCTGTTCAGTTCTGGACAGCGGTTTTCAATTACGAAAATGCAGCTGCAGAAAAGTGTTACAAAGAGCTAGCTACTGTAGTGGACGTCTCCCCTACAACTGCGTAGCTGCATGCCACCTGCTACGTCTTCCCTAGCAACCAAACGAGCGGCCCAGGGGGGGCGTCACGGGATGCCACAGTATCCTAGCAACGGAGTCAAAAGACCGGGGTTTCCCACGGGTGACTCACGGCTGCTGTGTATATAATCTCTGTCTCTCCATTGAGATTCATTCTGGCCTCTCTTCTTGAACACGCAACACCTCCTCCTCCGCCGCTGCCTGGCGGTCCTCGCTCCCGCCGGCGAGCATGGCGACCCACCAGCTGTCCTTCTCTGAGCGTCCTCATCAACCAGCTCTCTTATTCTGCTCTCGGTTCCTGAACACGCAACACCTCCTCCAAGCAAGCTCCTCGCTGTCCCGTTCTCATTCAACCTGGAGGCCAGCAACAGGCAACATCTTCTCTAACGAAGCTCCTGCACATCTACCTCCTTCAACACGCTACTCACCGAACGTCTCTACTGAGCAGCTCCCCACCACACGGCACCTCCAGCACCAGACTGTCTACCATATAACTTATATTATATAAGAAAACCACCTTAGAGTTTCCATCCATCCTGAGTGCTAGACAACATTATATCACGAAACCCTACACTACCATTGCTCTGAACTCTTATTGTATTCCTCTGAGTGCAGCATTTGTTGAACGAGTGTTTCGCGTGTAACGAATGTGAAGTCCAAGGCAAGAAACAAGTAAAGCCCAGATTCTTTAGACTCTAAAGTTTAGAGGCCATTTTACGAGTGGGAACACACTTGCACAATAAGGACTGCTGTTACCAGAAATTTGAAGTTACTGAAAAAATGCTAGCACTCTTCACAAGTCAAATGTACAGCGAGGAAAAACAAAAATTCGACCAAGGAGAAGGTAGCCAACAACCTAGTACTTCCAGTTCAACCTGCACTATTACCGGAAGTGGAGAAATGGAGGCAACTTCCTTCAATGAAATTTTTTCCATTGAATTTAAAAATTTCAGGTAAGTTACATTTTGACTGTAAAACCTATGCAACCAAAAATAATATATGGTTTCTCTTTTTAAATAATTCCACAAACTTGTGCTGGTAGTCGTCTTTTTTTTTTACTTTAAATGTCCTTTTTTTACGGAGTGGTTGTCCTGATTTGGGGAGGAGCATCTGGCAACCCTGATGTGAATGTGTGTCTCGCAGTGTTGCCACTCCTTGGGTTTTTCTACTAGATCTTGGGTTTTTTGCTTCGACCTTGCAGTCTTGGAGTTTTTTCCTTAGAATCCAATAAATCTTGGAGTTTTTGTTAAGTGTATCGAAACAAAATATTTTGATGCGTGCACTGCAATAATATAGTAAATCATAAAACGTAATTATACTTAATCAATTGGAAACGAGACAGAAATATACACGGTGACTGTGATTGGTGATAAAATATAAGTCATGGACTAGTTTTTCATCATTGAAGTTCAGCAAGGGAGGGCCGGGAGTGGACACGACTGTACGGACTCTGGACAGGTTCAGTTCGCGGTCAGTATCTGGCTGGAAGATGTGAAGTTTTGCTACTGAAAGAACCACGAGGGGAAAGTAAAAAAAGGTTCCTTGTTGACTGTCAGAAATTTTTAGCAGAACTGTGGGTGCAAATAAGGAAGTTGCTCTGTCTCCGCAGCAAAATGTTAAATTAATTGCACAATTGGCTGTTCATTTCCCCACACTCGTGAAAGAGACAGACCTTGATGATTTACAAGAACAGTGGCAAGATCTGTTGCATGCCAAGGCTAGTCTTCAAAATTTGAACCTGTCACCAACCTCTTTATGGCAAGAATTACTTGAAGTAAAAGATGGAAACAATGAAGCAAAATTTTCTACCCTTGCAACACTCATGCGAGATTTATTGGCCATGCCACATTCATCTGCCGTAGTTGAGCGGATGTTTTGTAAGATAAACATTGTCAAAACCAAGCATTCCAACAGGCTATTAACCGAAACTGTTGCAAACCGGATGCTTGCAAAGCAAGCAGTCGCTCGGCAGGGAGGGTCTTGCTCCAATTGGAACCCATCTAAATCTCTGCTTAGCGACATGAAAAGTGGAAAGTGTCACCAGCGCTATACAGAGAAGTGCTCCAAATCAGAGGTGACAACTATACACCCAGAAGATGCCAGCAGTGATTCGGAAGAACTTCCACTACAAGTCTACATGCATTAAATATATGTAAATCCCAGGTAAGACAATTAAAAGTACATATTTTCGAGACCTTAACACAAGGTAAATGTTCGTGTACTGTGAAAATGAACATCTTGTTTTTTTTAGGTCATTCTTGGAGTTTTCTGAGGTGCAATCTTGGATTTTTTGAAATTCTGGAGTGGCAACACTGGTGTCTCGGCGTCTTGTCAACTTGTGGTGCCGGACTGCCGGGCGTTACCGGGCGATCGAGTCACAGTGTCAGGGTTGCCAGATTGGCCTTTTTATGGCCAAATATGAGATATTTGGCCTTTTTGGAAGGTATTTGGCCACCAAAATTTCGATTTGGTCAAAATTTGGCCATTTTTTTTAAGTAAGTACTAAACGCGTATTGAACGCGTTTACAACACGTAGACTGAACGGAGTGCCGGCCCGCCGGGCAGCCGGTGCCCGCTGCGGCGCAACGGCGTGCCAGTTTGCCATCAACAATCATCTGCAGTGCACGTGTAATGTTCAATATTCTTGTAAATTGGCAAGAACTTAAAGCATATTTTGCAACATCAGAAAATACTGGTCGAACAGATACAAAGTTCAAAGCCAGATTATTAAAAGAAATGCTTTATGATAAAGTCAGTTATTTATATTTTGTGTTTGCTAAACCTATTGTTAAAGATTTTGAAGCTGTCAATTCAATGTTTCAATCCACTAACATGGATCCACATAAACTATCTAATGAATTAGAGTTACTCAGAAAACTCTTTGCAATAGAATTTACAATAATGATGGTACAGACAAAGGCATTGAAAAAATTGATTTTGGAGCCAAATTTCAGCAAGAAGTTAATAGTCATCTAAAGGAGTTCAAGGAGAGACAACAAGTTAAAGAAGAAGAAAGCAAAGTCCTTGATGTTAAAAGAAGATGCCGTATATTTATTGTTGAGGCCATCGATCAAGTGCGCTCCAAATTGTGCAATGCAGCTGAAGCATTCAAAAATCTTTCATTACTTAATCCTTCGAAGGTATTAAACCAAACAGCTAAAGGTGATTCTTCAGATTTACCTATGTTACATTTAACTAAAAATAATTCAGATGAAATAGAACAACAATATCGGAAAATTACTGTAACAGATTGGAGACTAGAAAATGTGTTTGAAAACAATGAAATTCCAGATGACACAACCAAATTTTGGCTTGGTGTCTATCATCATGAAAACTTCAAGGAATTGGCAGCTTATGCACTTAATTGCCTAGTCACACCAGCAAGCAATGCTATTGTTGAACGAATATTTTCTCTGGTAACTGCAATCAAAACAAAACCAAGAAACAGAATGCAAATCAATCTTCTAGATGCAATTATCAGAATCCGAGCGCATCTCCTCGAGAATTCAATCTGTTGTAAGGATATGCGTATAACGGATCGAATGATAACGAACTTCAAGTCTGATATTCTCTATTCGTATGGTGGTAGAATTGGTGTTGCATCAACTTCACACTCACAACAGACTGCACGAAGCGCACAAGAAGAAGTTGACATAACGATGTTCCTGTAACAAGATTGAGGCGAGTTATTTTACCTTATGCCTATTATTATTGTTAAATTGATTTATTTAGAAATATTTCAACGTTTTGTGTTTACTTCGTTGTTTTTAAAGGTTTCTAAGTTTAATTTGGAGAGTATGTAGGTTTTTAAAGACAATTTTACCATTTGGCCTTTTTTTGGCCTTTTATTCCTGTGTTTTTGGCCATAAGCAACTGAAACCATCTGGCAACCCTGCACAGTGTCAGTATTCACTAGTCAGTGTTGAGCCTCAGTCGTGCCTGGTTACGTCGATAATACGTACCAGACTCCCTACCCGCTCTAGAGGTTTCTTATGCCTGTTGATTCATTTATATATCATCACGTCGACGAAGTTGATAGTGCGAGGAAATGTTCTTCTTTTCCTCGACGTTCGTCTCCATCACGGCATTATTATATCGACAAGCTCGTTCCTCCGAAATATAAAGTACTTGTTCACGCTTAATCGTTAACACATTTATTACAACTGAGCGGATCACTTACTTTGAGGATAGTTTGGTCTGCTTCAAAGTTCTCCTGTATCGCTGTAATAATATCACTGCAACACTATGATCAACATATTTCACTTGTTCCTTTCAGTACCCGGTGTCCGACTTCACGGTGAGCACTAGTTTATTCCGCTGCAAGACCGTCTCCTGGGTGTCACTAATACTGAATGAAAATGTTTTCTTATGCTAGAATTTAACACATCACTGAAACGTATCATAATTCTCCGACCAAAATACAGCGAAATTTCAAACTCCAAGACAGTATTCATGAAGCTGGCAACAAATACAAGTGTATCACTTCAGAGGACAACTGAACAAATCAATCTCTAAAAGAAATATTGTAGTACAAATATACTTCCACAACCTCACACATCATCCATACAGTAATATATGGATGGCTGTCACTAGAATAACAATAAAAGAGCTTCATAGTGCTTGAAAATATTAAGTTACACCCCAAGAAGTCGTGTTGTGGTGTCGACTTTAAATAGGAAGATGTGCAAGCCAGAGAACGAGCACAAGAAGACGGTGGTGGCCGTGGAGGGCAACACTCATCTCGCCACAATTAACAAGAACGAAGGCAGAATCTTCACACAAGTGAGTCAGTTTATGTAGGTGTTACCATAGTGAAAAGTTCTGATGTTACTGTTGTTTTGTGATGCTGCTGGCCATTATTATTATTATTATTATTATTATTATTATTATTATTATTATAATTATAATAAGGATATTTTAATTACCTACAAAACAAATTAAAAAATAATGTAAACGCAACAATGTTTGGTGATGAGGGAGAGAGGTGTAAGTGTACAGTATGGAAAGACAAGAGCGAGGGAACGCGTATTTATTCCCCCAGTATGATAGTGTACATTATAGTAGCATACAGCAAACACACTTATGAGTCCTATACTCAAGCAGAGCGATCGCCACTCCATTAATACTTATAGACCAATGAGCCTGACCAGCATAGTAAGTCAAGTACTTGAGAGCATTATAAGAGATGTCATGATCGATCATCTACTACGAAACAACCTTGTAAAGGATGGCCAACAATATATATATATATATATATATATATATATATATATATATATATATATATATATATATATATATATATATATATATATATATATATATATATATATATATATATATATATATATATGCAAGTAAATCACTGTAGGTACGCGTGATCCAGGTATATGCTGATAACCACTAGGAAAAAGAAAACACGAAGTTCCCAAGTCTGTACTCACCCCTGAAGATGTGAATTACACTGTAGTGGACGTCTCCCCTACAACTGCCTAACTGCGTAGCCACGCCACCACCTGTTACGGTCTTCCTTAGCAACCAAGCATATCGGCATTCCAATGCCCGCCGTATCTTAGCAACGGAACTAGTCACCGGCTACTTCTCGGGTTTTCCCACCATGACTCATAGCCGCTGCTGGGTGTATATAAGCTCTGTCTCTCCCTTGAGATTCATTCTGACCAATCTTCTTGAACAAGCAACACCTCCTCCTCTGCCGCTGCCTGGCGACCCTCCCCTCTCCTCCGCCTGCCTGGCGGTCCTCGCTCCCGCCAGCGAGCATGTCCTTCTCTGAGCTTCCTCACCAACCAACTCTCATTCTGCCCATTTTCCTGAACAAGCAACATCTCCAGCAAGCTCCACGCTGTTAACATTTCATTCAACCAGGAGGCCAGCAACAGGCAACATCTTCTCTAACGAAGCTCCTGCACATCTACCTCCTTCAACAAGCTACTCACCGAACGTCTTCTACGGAGCAGCTCCCCACCACACGGCATCTCCAGCACCAGACTGTCTATCATATAACTTATATATTATACAAGAAAACCACATTAGAGTTTCCTTCCATCCTGAGTGCTAGACAACTTTAATATCTCGATACCCCTACAACACGAAAGCGCTTGGGAACTTCGTGTTTTCTTTTTCCTTGTGGTTATCAGCATATATATATATATATATATATATATATATATATATATATATATATATATATATATATATATATATACAATATATATATATATATATATATATATATATATATATATATATATATATATATATATATATATATATATATATATATATATATATATATATATATATATATATATTTCATGTAAATCACAATGAAAACGTGGATAAGATAAATCTTGATAAACACGGGAAAATGGAAACTCCGTTTCCATTTTCCATTTTCAAGATATATATATATATATATATATATATATATATATATATATATATATATATATATATATATATATATATATATATATATATATATATATATATATATATATATATATATATATATATATATATATATATATATATATATATATATATATATATATATATATATATTGTTATGCCGTCTCTTAATTTACTTTAATATCCAGGTTTTAGGCGTAACCAAACAAAAAGAAAAGTGAAGTAAATCAAAAGGGAATAAAAATAAATAAAGTAAACCTTTAAGAATTTAATTAAATAAAATACTAACACAATAAAGAGCCTCGTAGGCTGTCACAACAAATTGATTCACTATCGAAACCTTTAAGACACAAATGATATTAAAACATCGAAACAGGATTATGTTAACACTGCATAAACATATAAAATAATTAACACTGAAATTAACTAAAGTGAAACAACACTGAATTACTTAAATGTAACTAAGCAAGCACTGATGGACACATAAAAGATATGAATAAGTACTCACATAGATATACCACATTGGTGGGGACAGGAACAACACAGAAATAAAATAAGTATAAGTGACAGGTGACAAGTGTCACTCAAAAGAACGTGAACTGAATGGCAAGAGGACTGGACTGAACTCAGTCTACTGGTGGAGTGCTATATATAGGTTCAGCTCCCGCCAATGCGACCAGCTGGTGAAACATGGGTCGTTTAACGATGCAAATGGTCGTTAGAGAAACAAAGAATGCTTGTTACAATACTAAATGAAGAAATATGATGGGCTTGAACAAATGATAACAGTTAAAACCTTAACAGCACAGGGTAAGGTGACTAGATTATATAATATATAAATATAACACATCATTACAGGAATAATATGGAACAACATGGAAGCATGTTATAAAAAAAATAATAGAAAAATACGACACGGTCGGAACACTTCCCCCATAAAATAAAATTTTGCTTGCACAAATTTTGATATGACATAAGTGTTCATTCTGTGGGTCTAAATAACAGATCACTAGCATCACAGGCTAGCTTGAAAGGCTTAGAAAAATTAGGGGCTCTCAAAATAGGATATGAGCAATTGAGCATAATACATTTTTCAAGTTTTGAAAAGAATCCTGACACCTTGAAGTCCAACAAAAAATATTACCCTTCAACAAATCAGTAAGTGCTAGTGCCTTCTCGGCAAAATTTCAAATATATCTCCGCTAATAACCCACACAACCCAAAAATCTGCAGACTTGTCGTTTGTTACAGGCATCTGAGAAATAGTGTCACACTTTGCTGTGGGAGGAGCAAGTTTCCAACCCAATTACATGTCTCAGATACAAAAGTTGAGCACAAACAAATTCTGACTTAGCAAAGTTTATAACAAGTCCTACATTTTCTAACTCAGTGAAGAGAGCGTCTAGCTGACATAAATGGTCTGACCAAGTGTCAGAAAAAATTACATCATCTAAATATACTACACAACCAGGCAAATTGGCCGTGACTTGTGACATCAGCCTTTGAAAGGTGGCAGGGGCATTGCAAAGCCCGAAAGGCATAACATTAAATTTATAGGTCTTACCTAATGTCACACAACTGGAGATGTCTGTAGCACGACGGGTCAATGGTACTTGCCAAAACCCTCGATTGCTTCGATGCAGTCGTCGACTCTTGGTAGAGGTAAGCTGTCCTTGCTGGTGACGGCGTTGACGTTGCGGAAGTCGATGCAGAATCGAAGAGTGCCGTCCATCTTTGGTACTAAAGTGACTGGTGAGCCCCACTCGCTGATAGGAAGCCTGCTTGATAGGCTTAGTAGAGCCAACGTCAATATCATGCACCACGGCAGTGGTACAGCCAGGCCTGTCTTGGAAGACAGGAGGATCTTGTTGGATGGCGGCCAGCACGTCAGCTCTCTAGTGTCCATGTAGACGCTGTAGCTTCTCCTGCAACTCCACGGAGTTGGACTGCCAAACCCTCACTGATGACAGGGCGAGTGGACTTGCCCCTTCCTATTTCTCTTCTTTTTCACCGTCTACCAAGAAAGTGTCAAAGGCACACACGGGAACTGGATCGTCAGCAACAGATGGGGATGCTGGGCGTGTGTGGTCCAGCTTGATGGTGTTGACGTGACATAAGCGCTGTAGTCGACGCCTGTCAGGGGTAGAGATAATATAATTTGTGGGGCTTACCTTCTTCACCACTCTATATGGCCCACTGAACTTCGCATGGAGCGGCTGTCCATGTCTCGGCAAGAGAATGAGAACTTGATATCCTATCTGGAACTCTCTGTGTCTGGCACGCTTGTCGTACCATGTCTTGGTCTTGGACTGCGACTGCTGTAAGTGGTCTTCGGCAAGGCTCCAACAACTTAGAAGCTTCTCTCTAACATCTCCTACTAAACTTAATACACTAATGCTCTCTTCACTACTACCTAACAATCTATCTCTAACTATGTGCAAAGGATCTCTTACTTGATGAGCGAACAGTAGAAGTATGAGAAACAAAATGGAAGATATTAGGGCCTTAGCAGTAACTTTCCTAAGAGGTACAGCATGCTAGTACCTAGTGGAGGTATCAATGACTGTAAATAAATATTCAAACCCACTAGAAGTTTTAGGCAGAGGGCCTACAATGTCACACTGTACTATTGTAAAGGGCTCAGGTACGTGAGGTACTCTTACAAGTGGAAAAGGTGGAATAGCCTGATTGGCTTTGCCTACCTTTTGACAAAAATGACAGTACTTACAAGTACTTACAATATTTAGTGACACCTCTCCTCATACCTGGCCAATAGAACTTTCTGGCCAGCCTGTTGAACGTCTTTCGGACACCTTGATGTCCAGAAAAGCGACCGTCATGGGCCAGAGCTAGAACATGTTGTCTGTAAGTGTGTGGGAGAACTATTTGAGTGATAGACGCCCAATCCGCGTCTTCCTTTGACATAGTCGGTGGGAGCCATCGGCGGCACAAAACACCGTCTTGACTGAAATATCTCGTGGTAGGACCTGAATCATTAGCAGAATGGGACACCTGGTCAAACAAGAGCGTAATGAATCGTCTTGCTCTTGCACAGCTATTAAAGCAACTCTCCCGGTCACAGCATTAACTGCTGAAGAAATGTCTTGGGAAGCAATTGGGTTAGCAAAAAGTCCTTCTAAGTAAAGTGAATCATCTACATCAGGAGTTACATTATGATCATTAGTCATTGACATAGAACGAGTCACAGCACACAAAGGGAAAACACCGGGCATATCATCTTCAAGTTGTTGCAGCTCTGTGGTAGACTCTGGTCTTTCCCGCAGCACAGGAGGTGGGGTTGCGTTCCCCATTTGATCTCCCGCCAAATCGTTACCGAGTATGAGGTCCACTCC